CTCTGACCACTCTCCTGAGGTAGGCCTATTCCATTAAGAATGTCAAAGCTTTCCGTGTGTTTGGTTGACGACATTGTATACGCCCATGTGAAGTTTTTTATATTTTTATCATACACTTACTGATTATCACTCAGAAATGTATGATTGAAATGTCTTGTAATAATATTAGATTTACATATACAGTATTCACCAACTCTGTAATTGATTATTAGTTGTCAAAATATTCAACTATTGTTTCAAAAATACTCTAAACATGCACTTTGGAATTCTTCCTATGGAGTAACAGTGTTTTATAATGAAATATTTTGTTTACTGAATGAGGAATCATGATACAGCTATGGTTTTTTTAACATGAATTTATTGGATTTTGTGATCAGACTGCCAACATGTGTTTCTCTCTTTGTATATTTTATATTGGTATGTTCATGCAGAGACACTCTTAATTGGCATTATTTATTACTTTGTTGAATGTTTGACTATATAAACACAACTTTATTCTCCTTTATCACTTTTTTTGCTCTTCCTTGCCACAACTGAGGTCTGCGGTAGACTCTGGTTCCTGAACCATGAGTTCTTTGCTTTTAAGTTGTTGCGGCTTCCTGCAGATCTGAGCCGGTCAGGTGTGGTCCCCGAAGATGTGTAGACGCGTTTTGAAACCTATGGTAAAGAAATGTTGATCCAGTATTGCGTTTTAAAGTGATCTATTGACATAAATAGTGCAACAAACAAGATATGGATGAATGATAAACTGAAGAACTGTAACGTATGACCTGAGGTGAGCAAAGAAAACGTGAAGGGAAAAGGGAAACACAAAATACGGTTACCCACTCAGCCCTGATTCATCACTTGTTTGACAGATTCATGCACACTTTTTGCACTTTTCGTGCACGTGCACCCACCCCGTGAGCCCCGCCCCCTGCTGTGGAGCCACACACATACATTAACCGCAAACACACAATGCACCCTGATCTGTCTCCTACATAAGTTATTTATACACATTTTGAGTTAGTCCTGATTGCACCTACGTACAAATAATGACGTTCTTTATTAGAAAGGATGTAGAAAAGTTCTACTCCGAATTGAGATTTGAATTTATACTTTCTTAAGACGCAGTTGTCTGTGTTCTGTTCTTTTGAATATCATTTAATTGTGCCTGGAATTGATTGTCGTTTGTTCGTTCACTTCAGGAAAACCAATTCTGAGCAATAATGGGGATTCTTAAAGCCACCCTGTGTAATTTTTACAGCTGCTCCATATGAAAAAACATGTTAACTAATAACAAATGTGACCTTTTTAAGAATATTTACCTCCACCATGTTTTTTTAATTGTATTCATAGGCTTAGAATTGAACTTATAAGTGTCCATGAGAGAGGAGGACTATCCGTGTAAATGCGCCATCTTGAAAACCGGTGGTGGATAAGGACAAAAAGCGAGAAACGCGTTTTTGTTGCACATAAGCTACTGATATTGATTTCACCGTGCCTTCACAATTTGGAAGAAGGAACCATAGAGAACCACAGTTATATAAAAGAACCACAGAGGACCACAGTTATAGAAAAGAACGATCGGAACAACAATCTTTTAGATAAATAATTATGTAGAAGTCCAGCATCATAGCTGCAAAATGTCAACATCGCAAACCACACGCACAAAGACAGCGTTAACAACAGGAGGTACATTGTCTAGTTTGTACACAACAGACTCACACGTGAACAATACGTAACTTTTTCACACTGACAATAAGTACGAGGCAGAATCTGCAACAGTCTCAGGATGTTCTGACCCGATCCGAGCGCAGTCCAACTACTATGTCACAAGTTTCAACTAAACTTATTCAGGGACAAGCATCAAATAAAACACACACAGAATCCCCACAAAACGATTGCCAGAATAATGTATCAGTAGCGTGAGTGAATGTTCTGTTTTTCTTACCTGGTGATGCAGATTGGGCGCTGTGGCTAACACTAATGCTAACATGAGCTTTGCCATGTCCTGCTGCTGCTGTGTATATCTCCTGCTTCTTTGATCCCCACATTTTTAATCTCACACAGACTTTATTCCTCCATGTGTCTCTTCTCTTCACACCGCGTTTGTAAAACTATATATTATAATAGATCCATGGTAAAAATCAGTAGAGCCTCTGTGTTGGGTGCTGCTGTCTGAACGCGGTCTGGTTTACATGTTGGCTCCACGCGTCTGTCAAGTGCCCGAGACATTTTGAGAGATCCGGTCATTTATCAAACTAAAATATTCTTTCCTTGGCAGTCTGGTGAAAGACTGAGAGTTGAGGAGCTCTGTCAAACAGTATAGGCAAAAGTCTCCTTAACTCTACAGGCACCCGTACTCAAATCTCAATATATGAGACTGCAATATAAGATCTCAACGCTAGAGGCACTAGAAATTACACAGTGTACCTCTAACAAAAATAACAAAAAAACAATAATTTGACCTTGTTTTATGGAACATATTTGAGGTTGAATGCTGTTAAAAATCTCTATAGAGCTTATATGGTAAAGTTTCTAAGTTACAATACAATACAATACAATACAATTTATTCTTGTATAGCCCTAGGTCACAACAGAAGTCATCTCAGAGGACTTAACAAAACCATTGAAATCACCAACACAGGTCAGAGAATCAACAGTTAAAACACATGAAAAATATAAAGCACACACAAAAATTTCCATACATGTTGTAGAATGTTAAAGTGTCCTGGATCATCACCAATCCTTTTTGTCGGACATTAACTGTCCAACAAGACCCTCCTGCATCGACAAGGAAAAACTCATAAAAAAAAACCATTGGGAAAAAGTGAGAAACCTTGGGGAGAACTAGGGAAACCCACAGGGAGGGAGACCCATTTGAGAAAGGGATCCACTCCTCCGGACGGACAGGCTAATGATCTAGGACCTAAGCTAGCTACAGAACGTGGACCAGTGGCCGCTGAACGTGGACAGGTCCGGTGCAGGACTGAAGCACTCCCAGGCGGGTCGGGCAGGGCAGTCCGCAGGTGTAGATGGAGGAGGCCAGGTCCATAGGTCCCGTCATGGACCTGGGAAGTTATTCGTTCCCCGTGGAAAATTACGTTTTAGTTAAGATAACACACAGTAGACATTTTACATTGAGAGAATGTTTTCATACTTATGAAAGACAATATATTATTATTTTAACTTTTCACATTCAAGGATTTACACACTTTCATAATATGTTTGTCTATTTTATACATGGAACACATTTTAAAAGGATGATCTACATTTAATGTTTTGCCTCTTTTAGTTTTTGGTGCACTGACATGAGGACTACGTATGTAGTGCAATCATTTTGTTATTGTTTTGTTATATACTTCAAGTTATGAGTATACTTTGGAACATTAGAGTATAATTTGCCATGTTTAATAATCAGACTGAAATGGCAGAAGTTCCTGGGGATAGCTTCATTGGGTATTCAAATAATTCTCTGTCCATGGTGCTGATATCTGTTCCACATGCTTCAGCCAAATAGTAGTTCATAGGTTAATTAGTATCCAGTTTTACCCCTTGCATTTAAACAGACTTAGATAAGAATGTATTTGGTAAGGCTGCCCCTAGTGGCAGCTGTCAGTATTTATCGTGAAGAAGCTGATTTCTCAGGTCTGCATTTAACTAATATAGATGTAGCCAGGTATTTAGTTATTTATTTTTTTTTTTTTTTACATTGCAAAGTGCAACTCTGTTGCATATTTGCCAAATGTTTTAAGTGAGGAAATTAGTACCATTCAATTTTCACTCTGTGATTCTGAAGCAAGATGCTATTGTTGCTGTGGACTGTAAACTAAAAAAAACCCCACATGCATTCTACCACTCCACATTCATGCAAGTGTCATCATTTATTTTTTTGTAATAGTAATTTTAGGTTGAAAACGTTGTATTGTATTATGATACAGTTCGTTACAAATATTGTAGTTTTAAAAGTGCACATAACATTTTATGAAAAGCTGTGGTTGTTGCTCAGAACAAACTCTTGGTGTCAGTATTCACCAGTGAACGGTGCAGCGTGTTCATTCTCCTCCCTTCTTTATCAGTTGTTGAAAAGCAGCCGCACATTTTCAGAAAACGCTCTGCTTTCAGTGCTTCGTTTTACGCATTTCAAGAGTTTTTAAAACAAATCTCCTGGTTAAATAATGGATGGGAAAAGACACCACTTTTTCATTATTTCGTGTTCTATTTTCCTGGTTTTTGATGTTGGCCGTGGAGACATCAGCTACTCTATTCCAGAGGAGATGAAACGTGGATCAGTGATCGGAAATATCGCTAAGGATGTTGGACTTGATTTGAGCAGATTGTCCGCTCGCAGGGCGCGCGTGGACTCCGAGGACAACGGAGTCCAGTTCTGCAGTGTGAACCTCAACACGGGAGAGCTGCTTGTTCAGGAGAGGATTGACAGAGAGGGCCTTTGTGCGAAGAAGACTTCATGTATTCTGAAACAGGAGCTTGTGCTGGAAAACCCTTTAGAGCTGCATCGCTTTACCATCCGCGTGCAAGATATCAATGATAACGCGCCGCAATTTAAAGAAGACACGCTTAAATTTGAAATCAGTGAATCTGCAGTTAAGGGCGCGAGATATCCATTAGATGAAGCTCATGACGGAGACGATGGGAAAAATGGTGTTCAGGGTTACATCCTTCAAGGTAATAATAACTTTGAATTAGAAGTAAAAACAAAGAGTAATGGCCGAAAGTACAGTGAATTAGTTTTAAATAAAGAATTAGACCGAGAGGATAATGAGGAGATGACGCTTGTGTTGACTGCGTTTGATGGCGGCTCTCCTCAGAGATCAGGCACAGTGGTCATCCATGTCACTGTTCTTGACGCTAATGATAATGCACCAGTGTTTAGTCAGACTGTGTATAAAGCGAGTCTCCCTGAAAACTCTCCTCCAGACACACTGGTTATTACAGTGACTGCGACTGACGCTGATCAGGGCGTAAACAGTGAGATAATATACGCATTTGACGACCTTTCAGCTGAAAACAACATATTTTCCTTAAATCCCTCCTCTGGTGAAGTTAAAGTTGCTGGATATATTGACTATGAAAAAGAGTCTTTATATGAAATTCAAATCAGTGCAAAGGATGGTTTGGGTCTGGCATCTTATACAACTTTATTCATAAACATTGTTGACATAAATGATAATGCTCCTGTTATATTTGTGAAATCTCAGACCAATCAGATCCCTGAGAATGTGTCTCCTGGTACAGAGGTGGGCATCATTAATGTCCAGGACAGAGACTCAGAGAACAACAGACAGGTCCACTGCTCCCTTCAGACTGGGGTCCCTTTCAAGTTAGTTCCTTCCATTAAAAACTATTATTCTCTGGTGACCACAGAGCAGCTGGACCGTGAGCTAGTGTCTGATTACAACATTACAATCAGTGCCACTGACGAGGGCTCTCCACCTCTGTCCTCCTCTAAAACTGTCCACTTAACTGTAGCTGACATCAATGACAACCCTCCTGTGTTTGAGGAGCAGTCCTACAGCGCACATGTGACTGAAAACAACAAACCTGGCTCCACTTTATGTTCTGTTGCTGCTCGAGACCCAGACTGGAGACAAAACGGGACAGTGGTTTATTCTCTGTTACCTGCTGAGGTGAACGGGGCCCCAGTGTCCTCCTATGTGTCTGTGAATGGAGACACAGGGGTGATCCATGCTGTGAGGGCTTTTGATTATGAACACTTCAGGAGTTTTCAAGTCCATGTGATGGCCAGAGACAATGGCTCTCCTCCACTCAGCAGCAACGTGACAGTCAATGTGTTTATATCTGATGTGAATGACAACTCTCCTCAAATACTGTACCCCAGCCCAGAGGGGAACTCCTTCATGACTGAACTGGTCCCTAAAGCTGCACATGCAGGCTCTCTGGTGTCCAAAGTGATAGCAGTGGACGCAGACTCTGGACAGAACGCCTGGCTGTCCTATCACATCGTCAAATCCACTGATGCTGGACTTTTTACTATTGGTCTCCACAGTGGAGAGATCAGGACCCAGCGGGACATCTCTGAATCTGACAGCATGAAACAGAACCTTATTGTGGCAGTGAAGGATAACGGACAGACTCCTCTCTCTGCCACCTGCTCCATGTATTTACTGATCTCTGATAACTTGGCTGAAGTGCCTGAACTCAAGGACATTTCTTATGATGAGAGGGACTCAAAGCTGACATCCTATCTGATCATTGCCCTGGTGTCAGTGTCCACATTTTTCCTCACCTTCATCATTATTGTCCTGGGTGTGAGGTTCTGTCGCAGGAGGAAGCCCAGACTGTTGTTTGATGGAGCAGTTGCAATCCCCAGTGGTTATCTGCCTCCTAATTATGCAGATGTTGACGGCACAGGAACTTTACGCAGCACTTACAACTATGATGGATACATGACAACTGGATCCAGGACAAGTGACTTTAAGTTTGTCTCGTCCTACAATGACAACACGCTGCCTGCAGAGCAGACGCTGAGGAAAAGCCCCACTGACTTTTCTGACGTCTTTGGGGACTCTGACCACTCTCCTGAGGTAGGTTTTTTTCATCCATAATCCTTATTTAGATACATATATTTTACATTAGAGGTATTCATTATTTCAATTCATATTTATTGTATTACAATAGTTGCTTTATTTTACATTCATCCCAACCTCTAGACACAATAAAGTATTGTCATTATTATTTGTTGATTTTGTGAAACAGTCACAGTTTTTGTAGAGTTTATTTAACCTGGGATTTTGATACAGTTTACTGTCATTATAACCTTTTTTTTCCTTAGCTCTTTCAATACTGTTTGGTTTGATTTAAATGCCATTTTAATAGCACTGCTTTAGGGTTTTTTGGCTCATTTTATCACACACACGTATATATATATACTGTATTTGTGTGTGTATATGTATGTGTGAATATATACAGTATATGTATATACAGTATAGACCAAAAGTTTGGACACACTTTCTCATTCAATTAGTGTCCTTTCTTTTCATGACTATTGACTGTAGATCCACACTCAGGTTGTGTAAGGGCTATTTGACCAATTAGAGTGGTGGGGTGCTGGCTCAGATCACCTGGCCTCCAGTCGTCGGACTTGAATCCAATCCAGATGGTTTTGGACCTGAACCCAATCCAATTGGTTTTGAGGCTGGACCACAGAGTGAAGGCGTAAGGGCCAACAAGTGCTAAGCATCTGTGGGAACTCAGACCATTTCAGGTCCTCTTGAAGCTCATCAAAAGAATGCCAAGAGTGTGTGAATCAGTAATCAGAGCAAAAGGTGCTACTTTGAGGAACCCAGAATATAAGACATATTTTAAGTTTTTTTTTTAGTGATTCTGACCAGGTAAATAATCACAATTTATGATGTAATTACAATGTAGCAGGCCGTTTTCTATTTTTCTCCTTATACCCAGAGACTTGAATTCTGGAATTTAGGTATGTGTGTGATATAAAAGTGGTTTGTGGTCAGATGATCATTGCGAAACATTTTTTGTCATTAACATTAAAATATTGTGTTTTATGTCATCTTAATTACAAACATAGAGTAACAGCGGAATAATTGAATATTGTTGTGAAATTTTATATTTCTTAATCACATTTTGAATGCATGGGTTGTTTTTATTTTTGACTTTTGTTGGACCAATATTTACTTGACCCTTTTTAACACTGTTTTAGTTTTAAGGCACAATCCTTAACATTTATGGATCATTTTTGTGATATTGAAATCAGAACTTTTTTCCTGTCTCTGATGCTTAGACATTCTGTTGTTTTTTGATGAATGTGTCTTCTCTCCAGTTTTTCTTTTTTAAATAACCATTAAAATAGAAAATAAAGAACCATAGTTTATGTTTTGTTTTTGGTGATTTTTTTCCGTTACGTTACCCTTGTTTGAAAGCTGTTTGAATTAACACACCTGTCTCATACTTTGATGGAGAATGATGCCCTGCTTTATAATCCACAGGGAGAAAGCTCTTTAACATTTGGATATTAGGGAAATATACACATTAAATGGCACCTGCAGAAAGTCTATTGTGTTAAATCACTAAATCCTTGTAGGAAAAGACCAAAGCTTTGAACTTTGCCATCATGTGTCTTTTGAATATTTAACTTTTGGGTCTGGTTGATAGTGAGCTTTACCCTGAAAATTAAACACATATCAGACACAGACAAAACGGCATGCTGCTCTTTTGTGATAGTGTTGGAACTTGATATATTAGAAGATTATTTGCTTGTTTTTATATAGAGCTCTCATATGGACAAATGGGCAATAATTGTGTTTTTCAAACGTAAAAATACTGTTACTATAGAAATGATAAGAGCTGGAAGTGGACCTTAACAGGATATTGATTTGAATTATGGAGTAACAGGGACATTTAAGTGTTTTGTTCAATTTGATCACAATTTCTGGCCACGTGTATTGGCAGATATTTGTTTCAGTGGTATCCAATCGTTCTCATCTTTGTTACACTTTCTGAACTTGAATTTACTATCATGCGCATGACTTGCATATATACCAAATTTGAATACTTTATACCCTTAAGAGTTATTAGTAGCCGGCCATTTAGAAAAAAATGCGTTTTTTAATTAATTTTTCATTTAATGCATTTAAGATGAAAAATAACGAGATAGCTTAGTGCTTTTTGTGAAACATACAATGATCATCAAATATGTTGATATGCAAGAAACAGGACAGGTCCAAAAGATAGAAAATTAACATTGAAGTGATCAAATGTAATTATTTTGAGTTCCACGCATGTAGTCCTTCCTCGTGGTGTCGCTCTTTACCAGCAGAAATCTTGCTTCGGCTGGAGGTCTGCTCCAGTCCTTGCTTTTTGGATTAAGCCTCGCGCATTCTTCTATTGCCTCTGTTCGGTCTTGGTTAATCAGGGAAGTCAACTCTCTGTAGTGACTTTGGAAATGCTGTGGTTTTCGCTACTGGGATTGTACTTTTTCATCCGTCTTGATTTGACACATGGAGACGTTAGCTATACGCTTCCCGAGGAGATGAAAAAAGGAGCCGTCATTGGAAATATAGTGAAAGATCTTGGTCTAGAGCGAGGGGCTTTGAGCCGCAGGAAAGCTCGTGTGGACACCGAGGGCTCGGATGTGCGCTTTTGTGATCTGATCCTGAACAATGGAGAACTGGTTGTTGCTGTTAAAATCGACCGTGAAGGTCTTTGTGCCAAAAGAACGTCTTGCGTCCTGAAGCAAGAATTGGTTTTAGAAAATCCGCTTGAGCTTCATCGTATACATCTGCATATTC